TGTTACAGGAATATACGCTTAGTTCAGCATTTTAATATGCGCATTTGCTGGATGAAATGAACGGTGCTCTGAAGGATATCTTGGCTAAGGAAGCCATTTTTCTTGGACCAATTTTACTGCATATTGCGTGGAGAAAGAACGGTCCTGGCCATCTTTTAACAAAACGGGCTGCCTGTCACGAACATATTTTCCAATCATCGAAGCGTGCATCGGTACATCTGGCTATGACAGCTTGCGGACAAAAGTTGATGAACGATTTGATAATCGCATCAAATCGTCGGACTTAAGAGGCTTTTTATGCTCCTAATGAAATTATTAACAGTGCTTCTTTATCACAAATCACCCGATAGCATGCTGAAGCGTCCATTTGTTTGGGCTTTTAACAACCGTAAGGCATTAGGACCCAGCTTTGCCAATCGTATCATTAATGCTGAAATTTAATTGAACCCGGCTGTCATCTCTTTCATCTCGGAACGTTTCAAATTCTCGTCTGATTCCGCAGTTTTTTATTCTATAACGTTTGCTGCATCATTTAAACGTGTTCTTCATTTCAGACTTCATCCAGTTCTTCGATATATTATTCATAAACTTCTAATTTTAGTTGTTGAGCAAGTTCACCATTTCTATAACACCAGATGCGGAAGACCGTTGTTAGATGGCTTGCGAGTAACATAGTGTGTTAACAATTTTTTAATCACTTTCAGGATAATTTGCAGAAATCTATTTTTTACTTTGAAAATAAACGTTCTTTAAGTTGATAGATAATTTAAATTTGAAAAGTTGAAAAAAAGCAGTACAAAAATGGATTTATCAAGCACAACGCGATATGGTGGTAGATCGGGTCATATGAAAGTACCGATATTTAGGTTATAACGAAGGTCGCCCGAAAATGTGGTTACCCCAGAGTCAAAATGGTCTCAATAAAATACACGCTGCGGGCGACCTCCAGAATGACAGAATACCGCCATAACCTTTACAGCATCGCTATGTCACCTAATTAATCTCTATATTGCGTTATCACTAATAAACCCGGTATATGCATTCTTTTATCAATATGACCAACAACTTATGTACAAAATCATTCTGAACAACCTGACAAATTTGTTACATGCGAGATGCACATAACCGTCCGCATGAAAATGGAAAATTTTGCTTTAATCATAGAAATATCACAGATTCGACAGAATATCTGCAAGGATTAATCTCATTTATCAACAACACGAGAATGATACATAACAAGTTAATAAATGTATCAGTTTAATACACAAAATCGCATCATCTTCATTTCACTTGTCGGTTTCGAATTCAGACTTCAATCCTTTGAGTATTTTATCAAAAACACCGTCCGGTAAATAAGCCAAGTCTATGAAGCAACGAATGAGCTTCGCTTCGCTTAAATCCTGGAATAGCGGGGAAGCTAAAAACAGCCAGTTTTCACTAAAGACGGTACAACAGTGAATTACTTGAAAGCACGCTAAATAACGGGCAGGGGTGGTTTTGTATGGTCCAGTGGTCATCACTCCTCTGTTTCAGAATCAAATTTGCGATGAGATGTCTATGTCAGTGCACAGGATTTATTTTATCTGCTCTGATCATACTGCTTATGCTGACGTGTACAATGTACTGCGTGCTTAATATAGGCTTAAGTCAAAATGCAGTTTCGCCATATTTTACCACTTCAGAGATTTTAAAAGAAAAGTCAAGTTAAGATAACAGCAGCATGAATCAAAAAGGTGAACTGTATGAGTTCATACAGTCATCGCAGACCCGTGAGGTGATCTGATTCAAAAAACTTCGCAATATATGGACTGAAAATTGCTTGTTAATTTAGTGACTGTATCTGCACTATCAAACATGTCAGGCATCCCTCGTAACTGGAAGCTGCGTAGATGAATGAATAACTGATTGTAGTCTAAGACTTGAGAAAAGTGCCGATACACCTCCAATTCTGCAGCGGTGCTAATAGACTCACGTGGCGATTCTGGTTGTATCTGTCAAACTAGCAGGATCAGCTCCGTTCGATCCAGACAGCTAAGCAACATGTCGAGTGAGAGTACTTTTCGCTAGGCCTTGTCGGTAGACCAATAGGTTTTACCTGTAAGGCCTCCAACGTTTCTAGAAACTTCTGTTCAGTCTTCATGGCGGTTTTGACTGTGGAAAGCGATCTGTCGC